TGCTTATAGTAAAGGCATATAGCAAATCAAGCAGTTTCAGAAGTGAGAGTCCCATTCATATTTTGAAGGACAGTCTGCTTGTTTTTGTTTAAATGCAGTGGTTAAGGGAAGTGGCAGAAACAGTAAACCATATTTAAACAAAGTTCAACTCAAACAGTTTTCTCCTGGCTCTTTTATGTAGTGAAGTATTATTTCAGTGGAATATACAATGGAGATTTCTGTTTTCTTTTAAATATATTGTAAGTATAGCATAGAAAATAACATTCTGGAAAGCCAGAATGTTACTTATCAGGAGAGAAGCTCTTTGTCGCTCCAAATGTTAGGTAGTTATTTGTACTATAGCCCAGAAGGCCATTCTGGACATCTGTTCTGTAGGGCCCTATGCCTGGGCCTTAAGCCCAGAAGGTTTGTTACAGACTGGACTGCCAGCCATCAGGCTGGTTATCACATCTGTTTCAGCAATGGGCACAGAGTGTGGCCATGCTTGGCAGAGATACACACACATATATCTATATATGCATTTTATATATATTCAGGACAAAAGTGAAACTCACTGGGACAATGGAGATGGAGTGCACATCCCTAATGTGTAAAATCATAAAAATGCACTATACCTTATGTTATTGATACTCAAGTGTTCATGAGTGGAATTATGAGTCTTGAATTTGCTTTAAAATATTATAGGAAAAAAGTGTCTGGGAAGAACAGATGGCAAATTATTAATAACTGGTGGATTGGAGTGATAGGCATTTAAGAAGTTCTTCATGTTATTATCTACACTTTGTGTTGTTTGAGAACTTTGACAATAAAAATGACTTCAAATAAACTTTACTGATTAAGAAAGTAAGCAAAAAATAAGGATTTTTTTTGGTTGATTTTTTTTTGGGGGGGGGGTCAGTCGTGGAGCCTGAACTCTGGGCCTGGGCGCTGTCCCTCAGCTCTTCAGCTCAAGGCTAGCGCTCTACCACTTGAGCCACAGCGCCACTTCTCACTTTTTTTTTCTGCTTATGTGGTGCTGAGGAATTGAACCCAGGGCCTCATGCATGCAAGGCAAGCACTCTACCACTGAGCCACCTTCCAGTCCCAAGGACATTTTTAATGATCAAAAGTATTACATAGCCAGGAGCTGATGGCTCACACCTTTAACCTTAACTACTCAGGTGTCTGAGATCTGAGGATTACAGTTGAAGCTAGCCTGGGCAAATAAGTCTGTGTGAGATTCTTTTTTTTTGGGGGGGGTGGTCCGGTCGTGGGGCCTGAACTCTGGGCCAGGGCACTGTCCCTCAGCTCTTCAGCTCAAGGCTAGCGCTCTACCACTTGAGCCACAGCGCCACTTCTGGCTTTTTTCTTTTTGTTTATATGGTGCTGAGGAATTAAACCCAAGGCCTCATGCATGCAAGGCAAGCGCTCTACCACTGAGCCACCTTCCCAGCCCAGTCTGTGAGATTCTTATCTCCAATAAACTACTAAAAAAAGCTGGAAGTAGTACTGTGGTTCAAGTGGTAGAGCACTCACCTTGAGCAATAGAAGCTCAAAGACAGTGCCCAGGCCTACAGTTCAAGCCACAGGACTGGCAAAAAAAAAAAAAAAGTACTACATAAAAAACTTGGAAGAATGCTGGGCTCATATCTATAATCCTAGCGACTCAGGAGGCTGAGATCTGAGGATCATGGTTCAAAGCCAGCTTGGGCAAGAAAGTCCATGAGACTGTTATCTCCAATTAACCACCAGAAACTGGCAGTGGTGCTCTGGCTCAAAGTGGCAGCATGCTAACCTTCAGTGAAAAAGCTCAGGGACTATATTCAGGTCCCCAGCTCAATAAAACAAAACAAAATTGGAAGCTTGGCACTGGTAGTTCATACCTGTAATCCTAGAGCCTCAGGAGGCTAAGAACCTAGGTCACTATTTGAAGCCAGCCCAGGCAGAAAAGTCCTTGAAACTTTACCTCAAAAAGCCAGGTTGGTAGTGTGAATCAAACGGTAGAGTGCCAGACAATCACACAAGCCTATCAAGCACAAAGCCCTAAGTTCAAACTGTACCAACAGAAAAAGAAGAAAAAGGTAAATATCCAATTATCTCCTCTTCTTTGAGAAGATCTGTACAGAACTATTTCCATGGCTGTTACAATAGAGAAAAGCTGGGAACGTTAGTGTCAATGAATTAGGAGCTAGTTCAAAATAATACATCCACATATGGTAGAATACTATGCAAACATGAACAAGAACGGTACACAGTTATAATGAAGGCTCCATAGCTGCACACCCGGCGTGACTCACGCTTGCAGGCTTCAGGAGGGACATCGGAGGAATGGTCAGAAGGGACATCAGAGGAGTGTTCGGCAGTGTGCAGAGCGGCCATCTCTGCACAGAAAGTTTACAGGTGTGTTTTACTTTTTCCTTGAAACGTGTCTATATTACTCAAACTTTTCTTTTTTTTTTGGGTCCGGTCGTGGGGCCTGAACTCTGGGCCTAGGCACTGTCCCTCAGCTCTTCAGCTCAAGGCGAGCGCTCTACCACTTGAGCCACAGTGCCACTTCTGGCTTTTTGCTTATGTGGTGCTGAGGAATCAAACCCAGGGCGTCAGGCATGCAAGGCAAGCGCTCTACCACTGAGCCACCTTCCCAGCCCCTACTCAAACTTTTCGTAGAAGCATATATTTACTTTATAGTAGGGGGAACCACTTTCTATAACTGAGGCAGGATAGAGAAAATGAGGCATGAGAAACAGCAGCTTAGAAAGCAGAGATAAAGAGTATTAATGAATTGCTTGGTAAAAGCATACAGGCACTATTTTCTTTGCTCTAAATTTTATACTCCCTCAATAAACTGCAACATCTAGTAAAAAGAAAAGAATTTAAAAAGGGGAAAAGAACAGCTTTTTCCTTTGATTTTGTCCACTTGGCCAACAGTATGCTTTGGGAGCTGAGCAATGCTAACTGGCTTAAACAAAGACTCTTGTCTTGGAAAACTATCTTGGGAAAATGACTCCTCTGTACACAAAAAGTGTTTGCAAAGGACAGTATTTCAAGGATAGATATGTCTTAAGTGAGTATCTGGAAGAACCACTCTTGTTTAAAGAGATGCTCAAATATCTGTGTCATAATGACCCAAATTTATTTATTTTTTCTTTGGGGGGGGAGTGGGTCCGGTCGTGGGGCCTGAACTCTGGGCCTGGGCACTGTCCCTCAGCTCTTCAGCTCAAGGCTAGTGCTCTACCACTTGAGCCACAGCACCACTTCTGGGTTTTTTCTTTTTGCTTATGTGGTGCTGAGGAATCGAACCCAGGGCCTCAGGCATGCAAGGCAAGCGCTCTACCACCGAGCCACCTTCCCAGACCCATGACCCAAATTTAATAAGCAGACCTACTTTGAAATTTCTGGGTCTAACTGATGAAACAGTGCAGCAGCCAGTATGACTAAATGTGCCAAGGGTTAGACAAAAGGGAACATTTCTCCTACCGTGAATTTGAGCCAACCCTCTGCCCCCATCCTTTTCTTCATTAATACCTATGATACCATGATATCAGATGTTCCTGCACCCATATCTGGTCTGTGTACTATCATTCTATCTTTGTTTTATCAGTAAACTTTCTTAGTCTATAGTTTGATGTGCCCTCAAATTCTTTTTGCAAGCCAGGCTCTGGTAGCTCACTCCTGTAATTCTAGCTACTAGGTAGGCTGAGATCTGAGGATCATGGTTCAAAGCCAGCCTGGGTAGGAAAGTCCATGAGATTCTTATTTCCAATTAACCACCAGAAAACCAGAAGTGGTGTTGTGGCTCAAGTGGTAGAGCACTGGCCTTGAGCTGAAGAGTTGAGGGACAGTGCCCAGGCCCAGAGTTCAAGCCCCACCATGCCCCACTCCCCCACGCCCCCACACAAAAAAATTCTTTTTGCAACATCATGAACTCAGTACCCAAAAGCCAAGTGGAAGCCTCCTCCGTTTTAGAGATCTTCTCCTGGTACCTTACTGGTTTAGGTAACATAACAATAGCCTACAATTTTTCTCATTATGTTATTCTTTCTAGCTAACTGGATGATTTAATATTAAAAATAGTGTTATGTCTTATGAAATTAAAAGTGAGAAAGTACTATACTTCTAAAACAATGTGAAATCTGGAATAGATTTTATTTATCTCTAAAAATGCAAATATCAGTTTTTAAGGCACATACATTTTTCTTCAACCACGTAATAAGTGCATTAAAATCTAAAATATCAAAACTACATAAAATACAACATCATAACATATATAAGACTGGACTTAAATAGCTTTTAGTTAATTAAAGTCAGACTGGAAATTCTATTAGTTACAGGAACAAACAGCATTTTGAAGAGAAAAGAAGAAAATGTTTTCTTAGTTGGTTCTTAAAGAATTTGAAAGCATTCCAACAGCTCGATGCAAAAAAGTATTTATAGATATTTTAGTAATATGTTTGCTCTTAGAATAGAACAGATGGCAGGATGGAATAAAATGTCATTTCCAGATGCATGGAACTTGGTAGGAACTTAACATTGTGAATTCCATCTCAAGTTTAAACATAGCTGGCACTGCAGCACTTAGGGGAAAATGTTAACTACATGGTAACCCTTGAAGCCTCACTGAAGGCCTGCTGTCTTGGTGGTGTCTCAGCTGGAGGATACTCTAGAAGTGCCACAGTCCTGCATCTTCAGGCAGGGCTGCTTAGTAAGCTGGCTTCCTAGACTGCTAGGATCTCAAAATAGCAGGAACGTGCCCAAGGGAGTTTTTCTCTACCCATCCCTCTTTGGAGTCTTATAAAAATAGTTGCTATGCACAGTCCTCATTCAAGGGATATGCTGCTCCCACGATTTCCTATCTTCTTGCTAACTTTAAAATTTCATGAATTTTAAAAATACCTCGTTTTTAACAAGAGATGGAGGGTCCCTATGTATGGCAATCTCAATTTGATTAACATCAAGAAAAACAAATAAAATGATATTACCTCAGTAACATGGTGGACACTCTTTACTTTCACATCTGTATTCTAAGCCTTAGAAATGATGAGAGATTTCTTATGTTTTGATTTATCTGAGTATGGTACCTGTATCAGATTAAAGAACAGTATTTCATTACAAATTGATTACTTTCCACTGTACTCAGAAAGATATTCTGCTTAATTATTGTGAGGATTTGGGACGAATAATTTAAATTCTTGTTCATATTACAGGTATCTTCAGAATAAAAGAAAAAAAATACCTGGTTTCCCAAAGAGCTGGATTCCTTGTGGTGACTAGAGTTGGAATGACACTTCTTCGAAGGTTTTGAAGACTCTGGACAAGCTTTTCTTTTCAATTTGTGGGTTCTTTTGCTTACTGTCAATCTGTGGTCACCAATATTGGCTTCTTCAGTTTGATTTGCTGATTGTTGTTGCAGTATTTGGGGACCTTCAGTTTCTATGTCTGACTCAAAAATGTGTGGTTTATTTTTCAGTTTTAGCGACTCGTGGCTTTTCCCTATAATTTGTGCTATGCATCTCCTTGTTAAGTTGTCTTTTCCATCCACCTGGATATCATTAGTGCTTTTTTTCACACCTAAATCATTATTTGGCATCTTCAATACCGCGCTGCTGGTGAGCGTGTTGCTCTCAATTAAGCTCAGAGCTGATTGTCCATAAGAAGTGGAATGTCTTGACTTATGCTCAGAGGGCTCCATATTTTTTTCTTGCAAAGATCTGGAGCTATTTTGATTTACTTTTCTAGCATGTACCTGAATGTTCCTTTTTTTAATAGCTGGGTCTAATTTCAGTTTGTTTTCCTGTGTTATACTAGTTTTAAGTGAAAGCAACTTAGATTCTGTAACATGATTTCTTTTCAGGTTGCTAAGTGTTGAGATATTTTTGTTCATCTGTGACAATCTAGGTTTGAAAACTGGAATGAATTTTGGGGTGATGTTTCTATTGGAGCTTAGACTTGTGTGTTGAACTTGTGCATTTCCTCTCTGGGACTGTGTCTCTTCCAGCTGTGGCTGTGGTATCCTGGAAGGCAGGGGCTGTTTCCTGCCCTGCACAGACTCTGGCTGGCCAAGCGGCGCTGAGGAAGGACCTGCTTGTGACAGCCTGAGGGGCTCCCCCTTGTGGTCGGCTGATATTGAACACGGTTGGAGACTTGGAGTCCAGGCAGGTCCTGTGGAACTGACCTGGGTCAGAGAAACCCTGAACGGTTTTTTAGTGGTCAGATTGGGTGGCTTGACTTTGCTTTCCTAAAAAGACAGAAATTATTTCAAGATAAAGAAGGAAAGTTCTAACTTCTCTTTAAATCAATATAAAGGCTGCACACACTGCTATCATTGTCTTCCAAATGTGCTTATGCAAGCATCGCCCTTCCAAAGGTCCCTCCTCTCTGTTCTAAGCTGTGGCTCCTGTCTTTAAAGTCCCACCTCCTTTAAATCTCCTACCAGTCACTACCAGAGTGATTTTTTTCTCTCTCCAAGGTTCTGTTTTTTGGAGGTAAAGGCCATGATTTGTTTATTCTAATCCTTTTACATGTACTCACAAATATATATGGAAAAGCATTACTATCTATACTAGGCCTTTAAGAATAAGTGGGATTTTGACTATAGGGTAAGACTGTATTGTTTTAATACTGTTTGCATTTTCTTTGTCTTCTACGGTGTGTGGTGCCTGGTAGCAACTCTGAAAGTACTTGTCAAACTGACTACTAGACAGACAGAAGAGTGTTTAATCTTCTTTTAAAAGTGTAGTCATCAAGAATAATATGCAAACCAAAACACTTGGTTTTTCTCTCCATTCCTGAGGTTCAATAGTTAATGGGGTAAGGATAGAGAAGGGACTAGGAAAAAGATTAGAACTTTAAGTGAGCACAGAAAAATTAGGAATTATCTCACTATTTTATATATCCTGGCAATTATCTATTAGGCATAGCAAAGTTACATAAAAATGAAGTGGTTTGGCTTGGAATAGTGATATGTGCTTGTAATTTCAGACTTTGGGAAGTAATGGCAGGAAGATTATGAATTCAAGGCAAGCCTGGGCTACATAGACAGTGTCTCAAAAATGGCTCAGAAAACAATGATTTCAACATAGAAACTTTGGGGAACACAATTTATATATCTCTGGAGTAAAAAGGAATGTAGTAGCAGTTCTGAAGGCCTTCTACAAGGGAGCTAGCATAAATAGAAATAGTAGGAGAAACACTGTACACAATCTCTGTCAAGATACCATAAGAGCAGTGACCAGCATCACCAGAGCAAGTCTAGAAATTAAGGCCCTGCTTTCCCCAGTAGCCATGGTAAACTAGGTTCAACCTTCATTCCAGTCTCTTCCTAGTACTCCTTTCTGGACTAGAACCTGGAAATCTCATAGTTAGGGTTTAGGGCAGAGGCATATATAAAGTATCTGGAAGGAGGACGCTGTACGTGTGGCTGTTTTGATGAGAAGATTCATTATGAATGAGTTTTTGATTTCAGATAGTTAGAAGAGCTGCAGTGTCTAGCCACCAGCTCTGTGGGTGTTGGTCAGTGCAGTTAGAGCTTCGGACATCCACATTCTGCTATAGATTGTTAGGCAAAACTACCAGTGCTCTTCCTGCACCTCTCCACCCTTACCCTACCCAGCCTCTGTCAGCACACAAATGCATACCTATCACTTGAAACATCAAAGAAACTCACTTCAGGTAGATTCACATAAGGATAAATGACCTATATCTTCTACATTCTGGTATAAAACTTCAAAAATACATGTCTAGTGTCTGAAATATTTCTGCTTCTTCTTATTGGTCTCGGAAATATATATATATATAGAAAAGATAAATTCAAGGAGTTTGTTTGCCCTCTGGCCTGTCAATACATTATTTACTCATTGTTTTAATTTTTAAAATACTATAAATAGCCTAGAGGTGAACACTTCTAAATTTATATTTGAAATTCATAAAAAGACTAAAAAAGGCCTATGCAAACAGCAGATGAGGTAATAAATAATTCACAAAACTCAAATATACTTAAGTGGTCAATAAACTAAAGCTTTATGAAGTGATGATCCAACCCCAACATCAGCTTTATTATATCATTGTCATTACACTGTTAGGTGTCACTGGAAAATGTGGCTTGGTTAACTTTTAATTTCTAGACTTTCCATATGATGTTTAGAACTTTATACAATTATAAAGGAAAACAAAAGAATTAGCCTATATATTTAGGTATGAAGGTAGTTAGTGGAGGTCTAGTATTAAAATGATGGCTAAAACTTGAGGAATAACCAAAGTGACCGATTAAATTTGTTTTATCATTAAAAGCCAGTTCTGTGCATGGCATCACCTGAGTATGTTAGTTACTTTTCTCATGTGGGTGATAAAATTCTGACATAACCAACTTAAGGAAGGACTTATTCTGGCCCACAGATTCAGAAGCTGTTGGTGGAAAAAGCAGAGCAGAGCAGTTCACTTGATCATTGACCAGAAAGCAGAGAAACAGGGAATGCAGAAAGAGAACAGTGCAGGTTAACTGCCAGCGATATACCCTGAGTGACTGATTTCCTCCATGATAGCCTCCATGTCTCACCACTCACCACCTCCCACTAATGCCAACCTTCTCATTAGGCCACAGCTTTCATGATACAATCCTCTTTGGAAATGCCATCCAGACACCCAGAGTGCACTACTTACTAAGGGGGCATGTCTTAATTCAATCAAGTTAACAAACAAATTAACCATCACATACTGTATGAACTAGTATTTGGTGATATTAAGGGATGATTGTTAATTCAGTTAGGTGACATGGAACTATGTCAAAATGTATTTTTACAAAGCTCTTATGTGGTGGAAGACCATATTACAGTCTTCAAAGGCAAGATAATACTTTATCTGAAAATTGTTTTGAAAACAAAGGCAAAATAATACTGTATCTGAAATTTGTCTTGAAATATTAGTTTACTCATCATCTAAAATTATGTAAAGGAGGAGCTAGATAATAAATGTGAGTGTTCATGTATGTTTGAAATGTTTTACAAGTGGAAAAAGAGCTAGTTTGATACTCTTGATAATTTTTTTTTTGGGTCCGGTTGTGGGGCCTGAACTCTGGGCCTGAGCACTGTCCCTCAGCTCTTCAGCTCAAGGCTAGTGCCCTACTACTTGAGCCACAGCGCCACTTCCGGTTTTTTTCTTTTTGCTTATGTGGTGCTGAGGAATTGAACCCAGGGCCTCAGGCATGCAAGGCAAGAGCTCTACCACTGAGCCACCTTCCCAGCCCTTGATAATTTTTTTAAACAGTCAATTTTTTTTCTTTCTTTTTCTTTTCTTTTTTTTTTTTTGACAGTCCTGGGGCTTGAAGTCAGGGCCTGGCCACTGTCCCTGAGCTTTTTTTGCTCAAGGCTAGCACTCTACCACTTGAGCCACAGCACCCCTTCTGGCTTTTTCTGTTCATGTGGTGCTGAGGAACTGAACTCAGGGCTTCATGCATGCTAGGCAAGCACTTAGTCACACTGCCAGCCTGATTCAGTCAAGTTGCAAAAATTCAGACAAGATGACAAAGGCTTGGCTATTTTCACCAATAAAGAATCTGATGGACCACTTTAGCCCCAGGATTCCAGAGAAGGTTGTTAGCCAAGGCCATCTGGCACTGGCTTCGCTGTTGATGTCTAGCTTTGCCCAGTCTTGCTTCCTTCTCATCTCCCTGGGTGTGGCTTCCAAGGAAAGGCACTGACAAACATGCGGATCATTGAAGTCCACATTGTTCTCAGAGTGCAATCTGTGACAAGAGCCGTCCATCATCGCCACTACTGCCTCCCCACCCCAATTTACAGCTGAGAAGACTGACATTGGGAGATAAATAGCTTGCCCCAACTACACAGATAGTAAGGAATTCAAATCTAGATAGCTTGTGAATGCAGCCTGAGTTCTAAACAGAAACTGAAACTTGTCCCCAGTTACATCACCAAAAATAGGACTTCCTGAGTTTCAATGAAAAACTCAGAAAATGATTATCTCAATAATGGGTCTTTATTGATAATTAACTGAGATGACACATACAAAAGAACACACAGAGAAAGCATCAGACCCATATTTTCAGTTTCTTTTTATGGGGAACAATATAAAGAACACAGTATCCCTTGAACTGAATGACATTATACCATTTCTTACCTGTATAATAGGTTTGCTGAGTTCCTGTGTGTAGTAGCATGGTTTATTTGTCATCTTTATGGGAAATCCACATATATGAGGCAGTATAGATTTTAAATCTGAAAGGAAACTTTTTAATACACCTTCCAAATCTATTCTTGGGAAGAACTGAACGGGCTGACTTCTGATGCAAGTGAGAGGATATCTGAACAAGGTTAAAGAACAACAGCAACATTTTTTTCTGTGAGAGATAACAATTTTTGTTTCTGTTTTTTTTTTCAGGTCCAAGACTGGGACTCAAACTTATACCTGCTGCTTTTGCTCATTGGTTAGCACTTTACCAACCAAACCATGCCTCCAACCCCCCAGTTTCTGTTTTTAAAAAGGTACTAAAAGTAACAATGTTATAAAGACATATAAACAAATTCTAACTGTTTTATGCTGCTTATCCAAAGCTGAAAAACATGCTTCCCTGGTCTTTATTTCTCCTTTCGTAAATGTTATTTTTTATTAACAGTAATTTTATGTTTATAGTGCTCAGTATGGTGTTCTGATATAACACAAGGCAATTCATTGTGCCTTTATTATGTGACTTTCTAAGTGGGCTGGCAAATTAATTTATTCCAAAAATGATTTATAAAGAAAGACACTATGGCCCTTTTAAATTACAGAAAGAAATGTCATGCAACAATGAACAGGTTGTATTTCCAAAAACAGTGAAAAAAAAACTTGGTATAGAGAAACACCACATATCAATTATATTCAGACTCCAAAAGCAATTCTTTGAGGCAAATAATTACTTTTTCTGATGAGAAGTATTCTGTGAACTCTGCAATAATGTGTTGATCTCTAATAAAAGGGAACATCTGTAATACGCTACCCATAGTTTCCCTTTGGAGACATTGGTTAAGAAATAGAATACAGAGAGGGAATGTTACGGCTCTTCCGTCTTCCATATCTATACTCCAGCTGGTCAGAACACAAAGACTAACCCGCAGGAATGATGAAATCAGTGCTCACTAAGATTTAAGAGCTCCACCTAGGCCCTTGTGCTTTTCCTTAGCATGCAGCTAAGAAAGACGTTTTCTTAAATCAATGCAGTACAGCAAGTACATATCAAATCTTCTAAACTCTGCCTGTAAAGGTAAATATTCTTCCAAAACCTAAATATGCTGTTCATTAACTGGTTTCTTTAATCCAATACTTTCAATAATATCCAAAGTTTCACTAGAGGGAGCACTTAGATAAGGAGAATCATATGATACTTCATGTGTACAAGGAAACAAATGTAAATATTTTGTCTATTTCAAATTTTTCTTTGCTGTCTAAATTGTTAAATAGTATTAAAGGAAAACTTATTTATCAATATCATGTGCAAATAAAATTGGGTAGAATTGTAAGAAAAACAAAAACCACTGGTTCAAGTAAAAGGTTCACGTGGGGCTTGAAGAAAAACTAGACTATGGGGTGAGCAAAGCATGCCTGCTATAGAAAGGATTCGTGAAAGTCCTTTCTCCAATCATTTTGAAGTAGATGTTGCAGTATATTTTCATCTTTCCACATTCTTCTGGAAGTTTATATCCATACTATAAATTAAGCACAGAATTTAAATCATCCTGGAGCAAGCTAATCTTAGGTTAAATTACTAGAAACTAAAACCAAATGACTTTTAATGAGATATGTATTTCTGTTCTTACCAGGTCATCCCAATGCATCTGGAGATCTTTGAATGAGTGAAATGGACTATCAGGGGGTATGGCATGGAGAATATTTATAATTTGTCCCATTTTCATACTATGAAAAATGAAAATTGGAAAAATATTGAGTCAGTATATAAATATGGTTTGACAAGTTAACTATGTGATCCGGAAAGTGTTCAAAAAGACTTAGCAACTATCTCATTATTCATGCAAATAATATACATTTGCTTCTAGTTTCAAACACTGTGTATGAAACTTTTGTCTCACTGACAAGTTATATATCCTCATTGTGTTTAACAAGATTTGGAATAGGTATACGTTGCAGAATGGCTAGATCCAGGTAACTAATATATGCATTAAAACACACACAGACAAATAGATTTTGTTGTAAGAATACTTCAAGCCTACTTGATTTTCAAGAACGCAGTATTTGTCATTAATCACAGTCATTATGTTGCATAATAGATCGCCTTGTGTGATTCCTCCTATCAAATTGAAATTCTCTATCCTTTGATCACTATCTCCTCAACCCCATCCCACAACATCACCTCAACCTCTAGTGAAACTTATCAGATTCTATATATGAAATCATGTGGTATTTGTTTTTCTATCTGGACTTTTTTTCACTCAAGGCTGAATTGTACTCCATTGTTAATATGTAGCACAAGTTCTTTATGCATTCTACCACTGATAGGCACTTGGATTGTATCCACATCTCAGCCACTACAAACAATGCTACAATGAACAGGGATTGTGCTTATCTCTTTGACATGCTCATTATATTTCCCAGTAGTGGGAAAGCTAGGGCATAAGGCAGTTCAATTTTCTGAGTTCTGTCTTTGAGGAACTTCTACCCTTACCTTCTAAACTTAACTCAGCTCATATCACATTCTAGTGAATCATTATTAGGTACAGATTTACTAAGTTTTTGTATTAAGAGCTATGATAGTCATCTTAATGTAAAACATGGAAATTCTGCCATTTTTGAAACTAGATATAATAAAAATAATTTTAGTAGCATAACCAGGGAAATTTATTGCATCTTATATAAGACAATTATGTTCCAGTATCTTTTGGGGGGGGTCAGTTTTGGGGCCTGAACTCTGGGCCTGGGTGCTCAGCTCTTCAGTTCAAGGTTAGTGCTCTAACACTAGAGCCACAGCACCACTTCCAGCTTTTTCTGCTTATGTGGTGCTGAGGAATTGAACCCAGGGCTGCATGCATGCAAGTCAAGCACTCTACCACTGAGCCAGCTTCCCAGCCCTGTTCCAGTATCTTAAAGTTTCAATTCAGTTTATAGTTTTGTACATATCATTGGTAAGCAAGCAAAATAAGAGGAAATTACTAAATTATATGGTGAATGTACCTTAGATATTATAAACTGAAATCTTACCTTGGTAAAACATAGCACCAGTTGCTCAAAATGGAATGTTTCTCAATGACAGCATGCTGATTGGCATAAAAATCTTGTAAAATATTCTGAGAAATATCGAACTCCTTTAGCTTTTAAGGAAATAAGATTTTGATGGGTAAGTCTTCAAAAAACTTGGCAAAGAAAAATAAATTTTAAAAATACATATCGTAGCAGGGAGCCAATGGCTTACACCTGTAATTCTAGTACTAAGGAGGCTGTGATCTGAGGATCAGTTTGAAGCCAGCCTGAGTAGGAAAGTTCATGAGACTTCAATTAACCACCAAAAAAGATAGAAGTGGAACTGTGGCTCAAGTGATAGATCATTAGCTTTGAGCAAAAAAGTTCAGGGACAGCACCCAGACCCTGAGTTCAAGTCCTAAAGGTAGAGCAAAAAAACTCCCAACACATTTCTTGTTGGATGCTGCTTGGTGGCTCACACTCTTAAATCTTAGCTATTTAGGAGGCTTGGATCTGGAGGATCATAGTTCAAAGTCAGCGTAGACAGAGAATAACCAGTAACAAATAACCTAATTAAATTAAATTATCTCTTTTAGTCCTTGTGGAGAACAGATGAAAAGATCATACTTAGTGGGAATATAGTCTTGTACAAAACTAATTTTCATAGCAGTCAGAAGGTAAAAAATTGCATATCTGTATCTATCTATCTACCTCTCTCTATATATAAATGAGATTCTGAGGAGCAGACGATCAACCATTATTTAAAGAATTCATTTAATTTAACAAGCATGTATTGAGTGTATAGTGTTGAACAGAGGAGAAGAATGTCTTGGTCTAATTTGTGGTATTTCCTTGCCTGACACGAAGGCTCTACTGACACACATTCCTGGTGTCACTCTTCCCCATCATTCATTCCCTTCAGGGGACAATTAGGTGACTCAGACACTGCTACAGCTGCTATGGTTGGGATGAATAACTAGGCATGCTTGACCAAACCACTCCCGCTTCTCAGCAGCTTGCTGACGAAGACAGTATCCTGTATTCTGTTATGTTGGAAATATTGCCTAATCTCAAAAGGGACTGTGGTTTTCCCTCATAAGTAGGTAGATAAATCTACTCAATCCTAGGGTTCAGACAGACAACTCTTTTTAATGAATTTTTCCTTTTTTTTTTTGGTTGGTCATGGGGCTTGAACTCTGGGCTTGGGCGCTGTCCTTGCGCTCTTCAGCTCAAGGCGAGCGCTCTACCGCTTGAGCCATAGTGCCACTTCCAGTTTTTCTAGTGGTTTATTGAAGATAAGAGTCTCATGGACTTTCCTGCCTGGGCTCGCTTTGAACCGCGATCCTCAAATCTCAGCTTCCTGAGTAGGTAGGAATACAGGTGTGAGCCACCGGTGCCCGCTTTTTTGCCCTTTTAAGTAATAATCAGTGTGGCCATATATTCTAGCTCATGCAAGTTAGAATGGGTATATCATCAGGTCAATGTCCCTTTCATTTCCAGAAATGCCACATTTGGAATAATAAACTATTATTAAATAAATAATAAAAATAATTAATATAACCTCTTGATGTAAAACTCTCTTTTTTAATCTCTAAATTAGTTCAAACTCAGATGTAAGAAAGATGAGGATAAGGCATTTTTGGATGCCATCTGCAAATATATTTGAGCAAAGAACAATATAAGACCTGCATTAAGTGACCACAGTATTTCCTTTGGGGAAGAAGATTTAGAATAAATGTATCAAGCATTTAGTAACATTCATTTAAGTATCATAAACCTTCTCTGACCTTCATGTTAAAAATTAAAATCTGATAGTATGTTAGTAGTAAATATAGTAACTGTACAGTAACTTATAGAAACCAAGTATATGGTACCTCAGCTGGTGGCAGCCTGATAGTGCAAACCTCTATACTCAGACAAATGTGAGTTTCTGTTACATTGATGTCTAACACTAAAAAACAAAACAAAACATAAAAATCTGTGAACTGTCTGGAATTATTCCATCACATCAAATTTCAAGTATTTTAGTAACATAAATCATTTAAGTTAGAAACTAAGGCAACATATGTTTATAACATAGTAAAATCAAGTAATCACCATGTGTTTTGCAGTTTACAGATAAGACATCTAATGATAAAGATGTATGAAACAACATGCATGTGTGTGAGAGGAAGCTCACAGGAGGTTGTTACAATAAGAAGACAACTTACAGGTTAGAGGAAGTCTCAACAAACACATATTTATACAAGTCTAACATTTATTATTTATTAAAAGTGGAGACTGCCATCTTCTAAAATCTAGAGTGGTCCTATGCCAGGCTTTTGACCTGAGTAGTTTTTCATTAACAAATTTCCTCAAATGTACTGGCAGATATATTACGGATACATTGTACTGCAGATAGATATGTTTTCACAAATGAAAACATTTCATGTCAGGATAGTGGTGACCTTGAGAAGGGGTATTATCTAAAGAAAGCAGTGGGGGAGTTAGGCCGTATTGATGATGCCTCCTGATCTGAGAACTGGATAAGCTTCATTTGCAAAAATTCAAGGAGTATCCATGTACGGTACCCTCTGTATGGTATTTTCACAATAAAAAAAAATCAATGAGTAATTCAGGTGCTGCTGGCTCACGCCTATAATCCTAGCTACTCATAAAGCTGAGATCTGAGGATAGTGGTTTAACGCCAGCCAGGGCAAGAAAATCAGTGAGATTCTTATGTCCAATTAACCACCAGAAAACCGGAAGTGGAGTTGTGGCTCAAAGTGGTAGAGTGCTTGCCTCGAGCACAAAAGTTCAGCGACAGTGCCAGTCCCTGAGTTCGAGCCCTATTATGATGGACAAAAAGCCAACAACAAAAAAGCAGTAAAACCCACAAACCTCAATGAGTACAATTTTTGAGATTTTTAACTCAGCATGTTAATTTCAAATATTTTAACACATGTATGAGGAATTTTGTTCTTCTAAACTGTTATCCTGACCCTCTAGCTATAGTGTCATCCCAGTATTTGTGTATGAAACTAAAGTCATGATAGATTCATAGATATGATTCATCCAGAACTAGAGCAGGGTGACTGCTATGAGTGCTGGCAGGGTAAACAGTCTTCAACTGGATGGTCTACTCAGCCACAGCAGTTAGTGGCTGCAGATCAGGATTGTACAGCGAGGCTCAAAGGGAGGGAAAGCTAACATGACTAATAAATGAGGCCACGATGGCTCAGGGCTTCCACCCAGCTGCTGTCTCACTACTGCTGTTTGGGAACCTGTTTACTTGCAATGGAACCTTGCTATAATACAAGAATTAGTTTATTTGAGTTCCTCAAGATAATGTTTTTAAAGGAGAAAAAAGTACATTAGTATTAATAACATTTTATACTATTATTCCGGGAACTACCTTCAGAGTGAACTCTTTCATAATTACAGTTTTCTTTAAGTAGAGAAAAAAATACAGCTTTTTCCAACTAAGTTTTTTTCTGAAGTAGGTTAATACTTTGAATAAGAAGTAATTTCTTTTTTTTTTTTTTTG